AAAAAAAAAAAAGCCTCAATGTGCAAGTCTGTAAGTCCTCGACTATACATACCTCTGACAACAGGAGTTGGTGTCACATAAAAATATGTTACTGCATTCATATCTCAACCATTTTATATAATATAAATAATTTTGTTAGATCAATAGAGTAAGTGTGATTTCAGTATGAATTGTTTATAACTGTAATAAGCATTCTTTTTATCATCTGGCACTTCTTTTAACATCTGTGTGTGTCTATAGAATATCAATACCTTTATCCGAGGCCTCTGTGCTATGAAGCCCCAGCTGGATGAACTTAGGGTCCTTCTGTATGTTGTTGTTAAGGAAGACATGGACACAAAAATACAAGACTTCAAGAAGTTCTTCACTGGAGAAAAATTTGTGGATGTGCAGATGCATATGCCTTTAGATGGTCTTCAATGTTTTAACTTGATGGTGAAAAATATCATCTTGTGATATTTAAATGCATGACTCAAATGTGTGGTTCTTGTCATTGCTTTCTGCTGTTTAAGATGCATTAATAAATCACATTTGATTTCATTAAATAAAATTGAAAATATTTCCTTGCTACTTTCTGTCATATGCAGAAATCGTTCTACAGTTTTTGTCGGTGACAGATGGACTTGATTTGAGCACACAGGGGTGTGGGTTTATTTTGTGGGCCTTGCAAAGACATTTCATGAGTAATTTGAGAGTAGATGGCTGCATTCTAGGCGAAGTGTTCTTGGCCTTCTAGTCTCTATGATGACAACCTAGTCAAAGATTTCTGAAACTTTTATAAGTATTTTACCAATAATTAAGCTTGACATACAAAAGTGAAAGTTTGTGGATTTTTTAATATTTCTGAAAAACGTTGTTTGCAGCTATTTTATGTCTCGGTGGTCTAAAGTGTGATTATGAATGAGTGCTTGTGTTTACTCAAGCACTCATTCAGAAAAACAGGCCTTATGCTAACACTTTACAAGCCTGTGTCAATTAGAATGTCTCACAATAAAGAACTTATATTTAATCATTGTCACAGCTGGTGCCTTTAAATGAGACTTTAGTCTTTGCAACTTTACAGATCTTCTTTATGCACCAAGAGCTTGTAACACTCCAAAGAGAAAGGAAGAGTTGAAATCGCATCATATGACCCCTTTAAACTACATGAACCACAATAAAGGATTTCTAAAAGTTTTGCGCAATAGGCTACATATTCTTGTGTTGCTTGTCTCTTTAAGAGGTTGGACAGGCTAGTGCTCCTCCAACGAAATGCGTCTGTCGGTCGGACAGACTGTATAAAAACAGGTCGGACAGACTCTGCCCACACCGCAGTTTAACAGCCAGCCAACTGACACAGAGCCGTTGAACCGCAAGCCGTGAGTATTATTCGTTTTGTTGTGTTTTTAACTTTTGCGCATTAATGCAGATAATAATGTATATTATATTCTTATCGTCAACGCTTGTGTCTGGCATTGCAACAACAATCTAACTCTAGCTAGTAAAATAAGCTAGCCAGCAGGTGTTAGCTCAATGTACTTTAGCCTACTGTACAAGCGGTGCACAATGAAAAACAATCTCTATGCTAACTCGCCATTACCTACAACATTACTTTAATATCCTTTTAGTATCCTTACGTTTAATTAGCATATGTATATCTTTGTCAATTTTGCGTGGGGTCAGCAAGCAATTAAGTTATTACTTATTGATTATTTTTTAATTCTTTACACTTCCACGCCAAATGTAAACCGGTTAGGCTAGACGATTGTATTACTCTGTAACACTAAGTTTGTTAACGCTTTTGATCTTTCTAGAATTCAGTAACGTTACATCACATGAATGACAGAAATCAGCACAAGTGTCCAGGATAAACAGAGTTTATTGGCAGTCATATCAGCCTAAGCATTATTTTAATGTGTGCTTATATAAAAATGTCCTTTGCAGTTCAGTTGTTTTTCCATTTTGTGAGGTAACTGACAGTTTTTTTTTTTTTCTTATATGCATTCTGGGAGGATGATAAATATTTTTTTTTAAGTACCGCAGACGTTTAATTATGTAAATCATACCTGCAGAGATGTGCAGTATGCCCTTGTGAAAAATGAATGCTCTAATTATATGTGGACACGTAGTGTTTTGCCATTTAAATGCACTAGAAGAGTACACTTTTAAAAGGAAGTATGCTTATTTTTGTTACTACCATGTAAAGTGATTGATTTATTATAGTTTAATTTAAACTGTTGTGTTTTTCACTATTGCAAATTGCAACTTCATCATTACAATTATATAATTACATACATGACATACAAATTTTAATAGAAAATATATTAAAGTATATTTCTGATTACCATAATTGCTTGTCAGTACATTCAACAGTATACTTTAACCATATTTCAAAGGCAATAGAATTATGAAATACATATAAAGATGTACTTAAGTTTTTTTATTAATTGCATTATACATTTTAATTTCATTGCAAGTAACATGCAATTAAATGTAAAAAAAATATTAAATTTATTTAGCAATTAAATAGGTTCTTTTCGAGTATTTTATTTCTGTAATAAATACTTTTTAAAAGTATGCTTCTTTTTAAAAGTGTACCTCTTTTTCCCAAGTGTGCAAATCCAGAGAGTCTTTATATTTGTGTTTCATTTTTACCTACATTGAGGGGTAAAGTGCTGTTTTCCTTTCCTCTCCAGAGCTTTTCACTGAACTGCACTTTTACCCGATTGGGAAAGGTTGGCTAAACTCACCTTGGATGTTAGCAATGGCCCTCATGCGACTACGACCCATGCGTTTGACCCTTTTGTCACTAAGAGGAAGATTTTGTCTTTGTGTGAATAGTGATGTCAAGTACAGAGTATCTGTGTCCCAGTCCCCCCAGCTTCTAGCCTTTGATAAGACAGTCGTAACTCATAACTTCCCTCCAAAGTATCTCCCGCTGACCGTCCGGCATTCACGACATTAGTGCTCCCCACTTCTGTCTACTCTATATGCTTACGTGCTTTTTCGACAAACCGGCACTTCTCAAGAAAAAGCCAGAACAGCCAGTCTCCCTTTAGAAAGACAAAAGGTACTGCTCCTGCCCCAGCATGTCTTGGTATAGAGTTATAGCAATTACATGCTTGCCTTTAGTACAAATATGTGAGGTTAAAAAAAAAACAGACTCTTTGGGTGAAATGGTATTCTTTGCTTACTTGGGTTGATCGTGAAAAGGAAATTACAACATGGCTTCCACAAATTACTCTTTGTTATTGTTGTGTATTGTTCTGTGTTCCTATACACCCTCCTATGTTACGTGATGAGTACGTAAACGCCGTAGTTTTTGGAGTAGTGTCTTTAGAAGAAAATAAACTGCAAGCATTAGTTGAACGCTCACTCTTGTCTCACGTGTAGTTCTTAGAAAATATAAAGTCATATATAACAGTTATTGAAACAATGTTTCATGCAACCTACCATTCATATTTTCCCCGCAGTGTCATCGTCTGTCCTGGAGGGTGAGACGCTAGCTATGGGCATGTGGTCACTCGGCCTTGGCGCTGTGGGGGCCGCCATTGCCGGCTTAATACTTGCAAACACTGACTTCTTGCTGACTAAACCGGCACCTGCTTCTGTAGAATATCTAGGGAATGCTGACCTCAAAACCATCAACAGTGGTAAGAAATGATTTGAAGTCCGCATGAAGTGATAAGGATTTTTTTTAATGAAATTTTGGCCAGTTGCTGTCATAACTAAGAAGAGCATTGAAGGAAACACCGTATTTATTGAATGTTTTTTCATCTGTATGCATTCAGATGAGAGGGCTTTAAAAGCGAAAACTCTCTGGGAGAAATCTGGTGCGGTGATCATGGCTGTCCGGCGACCTGGATGATTTTTGTGCAGAGAGGTAAAGTGATCGTGTTCCTCATAACAAAGTTCAGTTGCTGCGTGACTTTGCCAATGTGGATTTTTTTTTTTTTTTTTTTTTTTGCCCAGACAAAATCCGAGCACTTTTTTTGCATTTTCTGCACTGATTTGAGAGAAAATCTATGTTAAAGGAATAATTCACCCCCCAAAAAAATTTAAATTTACTCACCCTCAGGCCAAGATATAAATGAGTTTGTTTCTTCATCATATCTGATTTTAGCATTACATCACTTGCTCACCAGTGGATCCTCTGCAGTGAATGGATGCCGTCAGTATGAGAGTCCAAACAGCTGATAAAAACATCACAATAATCCACATGAGTCCAGTCTATCAATTAACATCTTGTGAAGCGATAAGCTGCATGTTTGTAGGAAACCAATCCATCAAGGCATTTGCTAAACAATTTTCTAACCAAAATACAAGTCCACAATCCATAATAATGCTTCCTTCAGTGAAAAAAGTCCATCCACTTTTGTCCTCTCTCATCAAAATCCACTGACACATTTTTCTGTCAGGACCACTATCGTCAAAGATGATTGATAATTAGCATACGGTTTGGATTGGCGGTATGGTTCTGTTCTGGGCATAATACTGAGGGACCTTATATATGAATGCTTAGATAGGTGTCATTTTCCTATAGGTAGACGTGGATCAGCTGAGAGTCAGCTGATGCGAGCTTTACTAACGTGACCTGCCAGAACTAACGCTTATGCTTGATATTTATTTATTTAACACAAATAAGCTGTTAACAAACAGCTTCTCACTTCACAAGACATTAATTGATGGACTGGACTCATGTGGATCACTTGTGGATTATTGTGATGTTTCCTCCGCTGTTTGGACTCTCAATTTGACGGCACCCATTCACTGCAGTGGATCCATTGGTGAACAAGTGATGTAATGTTGAATTTCTCCAATCTGTTATTCTGTTCAGCTGAAGAAACAAACTCATTTACATCTTGGACAGCCTGAGGTTGAGTACATTTTCAGCAAATGTTCATTTTGGGTGAACTATTCCTTAAAAAGAAGCTAAGAATACTACACTACTATTAGTTGCTAAAAGCACAAACCCATAAGTCTAAATAATGAATACATAAGCATGTGGGACTGCTGATGACATGATTGTGTATCTGCAGGAGGCCTCTGAGCTGTCCTCTCTGAAGCCCCAGCTGGATGAGCTCGGGGTCCCTCTGTATGCTGTTGTGAAGGAGAATGTAGGTACAGAGATTCAGGACTTCAGGCCTCACTTTGCAGGGGAGATCTTCCTGGATGAAAAGGTTAGTAAAGGCATAGTTCATCCAAAAATGGAAATTCTGTCATAATTTACTGTAATTCCAAACCCATAAGACTTCTGTTCATCTTCGAAACACAAATGAAGATGTTTTTAATGAAACCTGAGTTTTCTGTGCCTCCTTTCATTTTACGTCCACGAAACCAAAATTTTGACGCTTCAGAAAGTTCATAAAGGGATCATAAAAGAAATCCATATGAATTGAGCGGTTTAATCCAAGTCTTCTGAAAGACACTCGCACGTATAGTACATAGAGCAATCAAGCCTGCATGATTTATTACCAAATGTATTACAGAATAGAGCATAAAGCTACCAATAATTAATTATTCATTCTGCTTGGGTGTCTAATTGTGCACAGCAAGCTTTTTATGGGCCACAACAGAGGAAGATGGGTGTGCTTGGTTTCATTCGCTTGGGAGTCTGGCAAAACTTTATAAGGGCCTGGAGGTCAGGTCACCAAGGCAACATGAATGGAGAAGGTTTCATCCTGGGAGGGGTGTTTGTCATCGGATCAGGTGAACAGGTAATCTATTAGATATTTCGTAGCACCATTACAAAGCAAGAAAGTGCTTTCGCAGTGCATTTCAGAGCTTCTTCAACCACTTGCTTGTCCACACATATTCTGTTTTTTGTTGTTTTCAGGGGGTTCTTCTAGAGCACAGAGAAAAGGAGTTTGGAGATAAAGTCAGCATACAGTCGGTTTTGGAAGCCGCTAAGAAAATTGTGGTAGAAAAGTAGATGTTGTCTAAGTTTGTCAGGTGCAGCAAAGCTGCCAAGTTTGATTAAAATAGATTAATGAAAGTTCTCCCTTGATACAGAGTCACAACCCACCTCATCACACTTCATCTCTCCTACTAATGCTGTGAATAGAGAGAAAAGCTCAGGTTGTTGAATCGTTAGCACTGACTGGTACATTTAAGAGCTAAGTAACAATGCCATAGAATTGCATGTGGCCTCGTTTTAATTCTGGTGCTTTAGTATGTACAAATGGGACTAATGTTGTGTAATTAAGTAATATTGTTTTTGCACTTTAGAAATTGCTTGTCATGAATCATTGTATTGTTGCTTTTCACCTTCCTGCATTCCTTTGGTTGCCTGCTGCCACACTGGTGGTTTTCTGTGGTATGTGTATTAATGAAAGTCTGTTTCCAAACTCCATGTTGAAAGAGCAGATCTGATGCAAACACGTGCTTACAAATCTGCTGGTTTCTGGTCAGTGAGCAGCCAACGGCTCAGCTAGGGGTGGACACAATGAACAATAAACATGTCATCTCCAAAAATTCAATTAGTCTTCATTTGAGATACTTTTGTGTATTATGCATGTGAATTGCAGTCATTTACATGGTATTTCTCCTCAACACAACATGCTACTCAGCCATTCAGCTCTAATCCCTGATTAGTATATTTGCATGTGCAACAAATGCAATTCTCCGCCCACCTACTGGTACGCTTGCATTTTAAAGGCAGAGGACTTTGAAACGGCCCTAATGATAGCATTTTGCTTGTTGTTTAATTAGAAAGCTGTGTTCCATCTGGGGAAGCCAAGCCATCCGGTTCAGAATATGTCTGATTAAAGGAATAGTTCACCCTAAAATTAACATTTACTCCCCTACAATGAATTGTTCACCAATGGATCCCCTGCAGTGAATGGGAGCTTTCAGAATGAGAATTTAAGCAGCTGATAAAAGCGTCACGATAATCCATGACTTCAGTCAATCGATTAGCATCTTGTGAAATGAAAAGCTGTGTGTTTGTAAGAAACCACTTCACCAAGGCATTTTAACTTTAAAGCATTGCTTCTGGCCAAAATGAATCAATAATCCATAACTTTTTCTCCGGTGGAAAAGTTCATCCTTTGTTGTCCTCTCACCTTAAAATCCACTGACATGTTTATTTAAAACTGTTTTCATTTGTAAATGCTGCTTGATCTGGGCATATTTCTCTCCTGATTCAGACGAGGCTTGTATTTTAGCTGGAATTTTTTTTTGTGTTTTTTTTGTCAAAAATGTCTGTGAATTTGTTACAAACACACAGCTTCTCACTTCACAAGACATTAACTGAGGGGCTAGTTTTTTTTTTTTTTTTTATCAGCTGTTTGGACTCCCATTCCGACGGCACCCATTCACTGCTGAGGATCCATTGGTGAGCAAGATGTAATGCTAAATTTCTCCAAATTCATCTATATCTTGGATGACCTGAGGGCAAATTTTACTTTTTGGTTGAACTATTCCTTTAAATCAACTGTTATATGCCAAATATTTTCTTGGTTCTTCTAAGTATGATGCCCCTCTTTAGCAAATGCTGACAAACAAAGTATAGTCTCAGACATGGTTTAATAGCTTTATTACATCGTTCCAGATAAAATACAGACAAGGATTTAACAAAACAATATAAAATGCTGGAAAAATAAAACAAGCACCAATAATAACATTGAATAACTGTGCTGAAGTGGGTATTCCTTTACATGCAAGTAACATCACCCCAATTACTGCACTTTTCACACTAAAGGAGACCGATCAATAAATTGTGCTCTAAGCATCAAGCATATGTGCAGTGAATCAATTTTCTTTTGGCGAGGTCTTATTTGGTGTGGCAATCTATATTTTGTTTTGACATTATACAATTTAATGGACAACCATAATGTTATAACTATATATAGAAAATAACATGATCACTTTAAGTTCATTAACATGATATTAAAGGTGCTGTATGCAAGTTTTTGACTCTACTAAAGCATAATACCTAGTTCAACCACTCGGTGTCAATCCTACATACAGCACCTTAAAATATGTACAATTACACCATTATGGTTTTACATCCTATAAACATTGTCAGTGGTCTAGTGCAATTTACGATCATAAAATATTTGAAAGATCTTGAAACACCACCTTTGCTAATAATTTAGTGTATTGCTGATATTACAGACAGTAAGCTGGGTTAGTGTGGTTGAGGATGCTATGACAGTACTGACAGTATAACGTCTGTCGGTTTAAGTTTGGAATTCTGTGTCTATTATGTTGAGCATCACTATAAAGCATTGTGATGCTGGTGAGAATTACACGACCAACCAAACTTTATATGCTGGTACACTGCGCATTTTGAAAGGAAGGATGAGTCTTGACACTAGGTGGCTGAAGTGGTCTGTGATATTTGGTGTAACAGGACATCCCGGGAAGAAATCAGACAGTTTTGTATAAATCACAATCAAATAGTCATATTTGCAAAACAAATCCAACACTTCTCTATATCATCATAGTAACAGGGAATTTGTGCATTAAATAAAGCAAGCATCAAACCCAGACTGCTTTCAACTGGGCTACCTTTTTCAACAGCATACTTGTGTAACATTTAATGTGCTTAGATATTAGGCTAAATTATATGCCTACAATGGAGTGCTTATGTCAAAAACAACAGATCTCTACTGCCTCTTAGAGGATATGATGAGAATAATGTCAAGTCTATGTGCCGTTGTACCCAAAAAGCAGAGTTGTGAGAGTATGATGGCAAAACAAAACAAAAACCCTGCAAAGGTTTGTTAACTTCATCCACAAAAACAACAGGAACCAGACAACAAAAACTTCACATTGTAACATTACCGCAATACATCAGGGAAAACAAGTTTGATCATATGTGCTCCGGTTACAGGACCAGAGGCTAGTGAACTAACTAATGGTTATATCATATACTACAGACACTATGACTGACATCATAATAAACATAGATTCCCCCATGACAGCAATAAAGAAATCTGATTGTTGTTCCCAAAACTGTACGTGTCTGAGATGTAATACACGATCAAGCAGGGCATACGAAGCAACTTTTTCTTCATACTCCAACCGAGCATATTTCTATCGAACATGAGCAAACTTTGTTCTTATCATTTGCTCTTGCTGCCTGAGATATGTAGTGCTTGTCTTTAAGCCCAGACACATTCTGTCCTATTTGGGGAAATTATTCATACAATCACAAATACTAATAATAAGTATTCAATATTCCAATCAATATTATTTTGACCTTTCTTCAGTACACAAAATACAATCCACACAACCAAATGTCTTGGAGACATTTGCAATGACTTCAAACCACACAGGTCTATAAGGCTTAAACAGAAATAATGAAGTATGGCCTGCAGAAAATGATATCAGTGATAGTCACCCGATAATTTTTGATGTGCTCATGAAGGAGTGTTTGCACATCTCAGGGTTTCTTTTGTAGTACAGAGTAAAGCACACTGCATTCACTGCGCAAGTGCACTTAATGGGCACATAGTGGAGCATGAAAGGTGGAAATACTCCTGGCAGAATAAAGTTAACTGTCTTTACTAACAACGCACATGGGAGAGTGGAGCTGGAGAGACGTTTGAACCACAAACCTGGAAATCTTAGAAAGTTCCGAGCTAAAGATCATTAGTGAAAAAAAAAAAAAAATCATACATCATGCCTATGATAATCTAGTATAAATCAAAGTAGTGAATATATTGGTAAATAAGTCTACTTATGTGTGGTCAACACAAGATGGAGGTGTAAAGCAATGCAGCAGTTAACATTCAAGCATCTTTAACTAAATCCAGCAGTAAGTTCTGACCTTCACTGTACATATAGTCATTTTGGATAGTACAATAACATGGGTAAAATTGTCAAAAAATATATAACTCCGAACAGCAAAACAAAAATAAATATGTTCTACCCTTCAAGTTATGCCCACTAACCTCCAGTGCAGTGGAGGACATCAACATGGGCCGCAACCTAGACCTATCTACAGACCCTTGTTAAAATAAACAGTAGTGATGCTAGGATTGCTTTGTCGTATACTCTCTTGAAGCTCCGGCTCCAGGCTGCTCACATTCATAGAACTTCACAGAGACAGGAAACAACCCAAATCAGCATGTCAATCAAACCATGGCAAAAGCGTTTCTAAATTAGAAGCACTCACCTCTTTTGTGGGAACAGAGCACAGCACAGCGGAGTGGCAAACACCAGACTGTGGAGATGGATATGTAAAATAAGTAATTCAGTCATTGTTTTAAACCATGATTGCGGTGTATAGCAAACAAACAGTGCCTTAAAAACTCACCAGAATCCAACAAGTCCAACTTGTACAGGGGCATTGAGAACCGGGAACCGCTGAGAAATTAACACATTTTTAAGAAGCATTTTAAAACACGTCCTCTCAGACAGATTCAGATAGATGCTTGAAATGAGTCTGTTTGTGATTCCTTACCTTCATGAAGGCCTTCTTCTCTAAGGCATTCATGATAACTGGAGGAATAGCTGTTTGAGGAAAAATGTATTTTCAAAAACACATTTTCTTAAATTCATATTTAACTAATTTATTTGGCTGTGAATAAGAGGTAGATAGAATAAATTTAGTGATTGAATACATTTTATTAAAAAAAACCCACCAAAATACAGTGCCGTGAAAAGGTTTTTGCCCCCTTCCTGTTTTTTTTTTTTTTTGCACATTTGTCACATTTAAAAGATTCAGATCATCAAACTAATTTTAATATTACACAAAGATAACCCGAGAAAATACAAAATGCAGTTTTGAAATAAATGATTTCATTTATTAAGGGAAAAAAGCTGTCCAAACCTGCCTGGCCTTACATGAAAAAGTCATTGCCCCCTAAATCTAATAACTGGTTGTGCCACCCTTTGCAGCAACAACTGCAATCAACCGTTTGCGATAACTGGCAATGAGTCTTTCACATCGCTGTGGAGGAATTTTTGCCCACTCTTCTTTGCAGAATTGTTTTAATTCAGCCACATTGGAGGGTTTTTGAGAATGAAAGGACTGTTTAAAGTCATGCCACAGCATCTCAATCTGATTTAAGTCCGGACTTTGACTTGGCCACGCCAAAATCTTAATTTTGTTATTCTTGAGCCATTCAGAGGTGGACTTGCTGGTGTGTTTGGGATCATTGTCCTGCTGCATAACCCAAGTGCGTTTGAGCTTGAGGTCACAAACTGACAGCCGGACATTCTCCTTCAGGATTTTCTGATAGAGTGCAGAATTCATGGTTCTGTCAATTATGGCAAGTCGTCCAGGTCCTGAAGCTGCAAAGCAGCCCCAGATCATCACACTACCACCACCATGTTTGACTGCTGGTATGATGTTCTTTTTATGAAATGCTGT